ACCGGCCCCGGGCTCTCACTTACAATGAAAGTCATGACTATTACACCCAATACTGTGCCAAATGTGATAAACTGTTAACTAATATTGGCTTTGATTACAACAAACATGTGAACAAAACAGTTGATGATAATAAGTGTATGACTAATAGCTGCTACTATTGTAGCGATTGTGATATTTATGATAGTAATACCTGTGCTACCGGTGCCGCCACGGCCTGTGTCTCCAACGGCGGCACCGCTCCTGCCGCTCCCGATGGCCATACGTGTAGTCATTATCAGTGCCATCGACCGCAACATCAATACAATAATTTGGATAATTTGAGTCAATATTCACTTCACATGGAAAAGGATTTTAGGTATGAATTCCTCATAAAAGCCTTTCATATCTGTTATCCGTATTTCAATTGATAAGCAAATTGTCATAAAATGCGAGAATTGTGTCAATCAATGAATTAATGTCTAAATACTATTTACCCTTAATTTTGGTTTCGTTTCTATTTTATGTGTTTATCACAAGAATGTTGTGGAAATCTATTATGAATTGTTGAGTGTATTAATTGCTAATAACATGCTGTGTCTGTATGTGTGTGTCAGGTACTACTTCCAGCACCCGTACGCCCGGCTATTCGTCGCCTATTTCGTAGTGTTTTGTAATTTTCTAATCTTCGCGGAGGACCCGCTCTCGCACTCACTCATGGAGTGCTCGATACCGGTGTTGGGGAACGTCATCTCGTTCGTGGCCACGAAGTACCCGCACGACCCGTACTGGACGGCCGTCAAGGTGGGCCTGTGGTTGACGGCCATATTCGTGGGTCTAGTCTTTGGCAAATACATTCTCCATCACATTATACTGCGGCGGGTGTTGCGGCTCAAGATGTTTCGGGATGAGTGCGGCACCTGGATGGTCATGTTCGCCAGTGTATTCATCTCGTGCTACTTCTTCTCGTTTATCTACAACTTTCTGCTCGTCTGGGCCAACCCTAAGGCCGAGGAGCTGCTCATTAACTCGTATATGGGTATGACGTACGCCTCGTTCATGAAAGTGGCCGCTTGTGGCACGTGGTGTGGGGACTTCTTCACCGCCTGGATGATCACCGATATGATGCTCCAGGACAACCTCTACCCCGGTATGTCTTTTTATACATACCTGTGCTTTTTAGACTATTACAATATTTGTTTTATTCAATCGTTTTAATGGTTTTTTATTATTACCTGTTTTTATATTAGTTTAGAGTTTATAGTCTTGTATTGAAATTTGTATTTAAATTAATTTTTAATAGCATTTTAAGTTATGGGTTTAGATATGAGCTCTGATTAGAGATTAAATTCTTTGCAAAATAGTTTGTATTTTTAGTTTCTTTCTTTTTCTGAGGAATTATTTTTATTTTTGTTATTAATTTTGGAGTTTATTTTTGTTCATTCATTTATATCGCTGTGTATTTGAGTTGTAGTCAAAAAGTGTGTAAAAATATTTCAAACTCTTTTTTACGCCATGTGTTGACTTTTAGCATAACTTACGGAATCAAATGAATAACTCTTTTTGGATTCAATTCAATGCTATTATAGCGGTTGTGTTCACTTAAGAAAAAAATTTCAAGAATACAGCAATCATTTGATTCAAAGTGGAGTTATTTTTTGCAAAAAACTGCAAATTTTAAGCAAATATTTAGTTTTCCAGTTGAATAGCAAATGTCAAATCGGTTGCCTATTTGTCTGAAATGTTGTCTCATTACACGCAAAGGTTGGGCGCAAACGTTGCGGTCGTTTTGGCACAAACACACGACGACCCGGATATGTGTCTTCTGGACGGGCGCTCTCGTGATCGCAGCGCTGGTCATCACTCTCATAGTGACCGACAAGATATCGTGGGATAACCTCAACAAAGACTTCATCGCCAGCACAGAGTTGTCGCGCGCTT